CGAATGCTAAAATGGTCCCTAGAGATATCGGAATTCGGAATCCAATACCAGAGCCATAAAGCCCTCAAATCCCAAGCATTGGTCGACTTCGTCGCAGAAATGACCATCGTTGAGCCCCCTACAGAGGGGGCTCGAAAGTGGACCATCTTTGTAGATGGAGCTTCCAGTTCGACAGGGAGCAGGGCGGGCATCCTACTTGAAAATGAAGAGGGCATCGTAATCGAGTACTCTCTCATTTTATCTTTCTTGACGTCAAACAACCAGGCCGAATATGAAGTGCTGCTTGTAGGGCTTAGGTTGACCGAGGATTTAGGCGCCCAAGAAGTATAAATATTCATTGACTCCCAGCTTGTCGCATCACAAGTACGGGTAGAGTATCAGGCCAAGAATGACAGCCTCATTAAATACTTGACCCTGGTAAGAGAAAAAATGAAAAGGTTCGACCGTGTGGAAATCAAACATGTTCCCTACGAACAAAACACTCGAGCTGACATACTCTGGAAACTTGCGAGCACAAGGAAGAAGGGAGGAAACAAATTTGTCATCCAGGAATCCCTTTCCACCCCGAGCATCGAGAAGCTCACTGCGTCACTCGACATAAATGCAATTAAGGACAACACTTCTTGGATGACCCCGATGTTTAATTACCTTACCAAAGGGGAACTACCAACCGACCAAAAAGAGGCGAGCACAACAAAGCACCAAGCTTGCTCTTACGTTTTGGTCGAGCAGAAACTGTATAGATGGGGATTCTGCATCCTGATCCTAAAGTGTGTCGAGGAAACCAAAGTCCCTGACATCATACGAGAAATCCACGAAGGTATCAACGCCCAACACCTAAGCGGGAAGTCTTTGGCGTGAAAGGAGATGCGAGTAGGATACTACTGGCCCACGATGCTGCAGGACGCCAAGGAGCGCGTCAAAAAGTGCGACAGATGCCAACGCCATGCAGATATGCAGCTGGCACCTTCACACGAGCTTCAAACATTTTTTTCCCCGTGGCCTTTCACATAGTGGGGAATGGACATCCTCAGCCCCTTCCCCTAAGGAACATACTAGAAAAAATTCTTAATTGTCACCATTGATTACATTACTAAATAGATAGAGGCTGAAACTCTCGCCAAAATCACATCGCACAATATTCTTCGTTTCTACAAAAGAAATATGCTCGTCCAGTTCGACGTATCGCAAGCACTTGTCACTGGAAATAGGATACAATTCACTGACAAGAAATTCCAAGATTTCGTTGCTAAGCTCGGAACCAAGCAAGATTTTACATTTTCCGAGCACCCTCAAAGAAATGAGCAAGCGGAGTCCGTAAACAGGGTCATCTTACGAGGACTTAAGCACAAACTCGTTGAGGCAAAGAATGGGTGGGTCTAAGAGCTCCACGGCATGCTCTCAGATCACAGAGCGACACCCCAGACAACTATCGGGAGACTCTTTTCCGACTAACATACAATATCGAGGTAGTCATCCCCATAGAAATTAGGGAGCCATCTAGGCGAACTGAACCCCCTCTTCACGAGGAGCTAAACGATGAAGCCTTGAGGGAGGAGCTCGACCTGGTCGGAGAAATTCAATCGGGAGCATCTCTTCGTGAGGCCAAATTAAAACAACAGATAACTCTACGACATGATGCCAATGTCATAAAATGTGAGTTCCAAGTCGGCAGTATAGTCCTGTGGAGAAACCAGAAGGATTCCCATGAAGGAAAGTTGGCCGCCAACTGGAAAGACCCCTACCGCATCTATGATAAGACGGGCAATTGAGTATATTACCCCGAACACCTAGATGGGAAACATCTACCTCGACTTTGGAACACCGACAAGCTAAAACAATATTACAGCTAAGTCTCAAACAAAATTTGGGGCTTGGCAATCGACTTGACCTCTCCGACATAGACAGGTCTTGCCCGACAACAAAAGCATATTGAGGTACAAACATTGCATCCAACCCCAAACGAAAGGCGGATCTTTGCTCATTGGACGAGCAGAATTTTAGCCTGGCAGGGACACCTCGACCGAACTCCTTCGTCGTTGTACCGAAGAGGCATAATACCCAGCTCGCGATGGGACTTTTCACGCCACAAGAATTAGGTCTCGAACACGACCTTTGCCTCATCCCAACAAAATCCAAATTTGTATCTCTGACACGTCTCTATACATTGACATCCATCAATAAACAGGTCGAGCACGAATTCCCACACTTATATAAAATAACAAGCAAAACGTCAAAACAATGTTATGGATAAAACATGCGTAGTCCATATGTTACAGAAAGAGGGGCACGTAGGCCCAAACTAAAAAGCACATATACAAAAATCGGGAAAAGCCCATTGTCCAAGCATTAAAGAAAAGTTTGGCACGAGCTCGGGTAAATGCACGGGCACGTAAGCCCAAAGCTAAAACTAATCTTCGTGCCCATCCTCTTCATCGTCTGGCTCTTCCTCGGGGTTATCACTGGGAGGAGGAAGGATGACCTCATCAACAACTTGATGAAAAGGCTCGGTCCCTTTGGTTACGAGCTTGACCCCGACATTGACAATTTTAAATTGCTTCACAGTAGTATTAAAGTCATACCCAGGGGTATCCATCATGTCCTGCTCGAGCTGGCGAATCAGGGCAATCAGCTTTTGCCTAGTATGAAAGGCCTCCTCGACGTTTTCATCATCAGCAGGCTTCATGATCCCCTCCAGCTCCTTTTCTCGGGCAGCCAATCATGCATCTTCTGTTTCAGCTCGTTCAACTCAGTGAGGAGCCCGGCTTGGATCTCATATTTTGACTGATGGTCAAAGAGATTGTTCTTCAGTTTTCCATTATGCGCATTTAGCTTGTCAATCTAAGCATTTGCTTTGGCAAGGGCGACCTGGGAACTCGTCGTTGCGTCATTCAGGGTCAAAGCAATCTCAAGAACCCTCATTACAGCGGCCACATCTTTGAACTGATTCCTCTGTCGGGTTTCCTTGTCCGCGGACAAGATGGCTTCCCTCCCTGCTTCATGAAGACCTGGAGAGTTATCCCCGCCAAAAATGTTGCAGTTGAGATAACAGGGAGGCAGCACGAAGGACTCCAACAGTTTTGCCTTTATCTGAAGAGACCCCATGTTCGGGAACTTCCTCGTGCCTCCTCTTCGCGGGCTATTTAGGGGGAGAAAGTGGATTGCCTTAAGGATAAGAGGAACCGCAGACGTGGGCATTAAGTTTGGCATGTTTCTAGATTTGAGCAGCACCCTTTAGGGAACTTTAGGCCACCCTTGCCCCTTAGTTTGAGCAGATGTTCCTTGAAAGTTGTCATTCGACCTAAAATCCAAAAAAATGAGACAATTAGTCTACGAAACAAACAGAGAAAATATTTATTACGGGCACAGCCCCCACCTATGAGTCTCAAAGACTCTTCGTCAGAACAACATTCGAGCAGCGCTTTCGTGTTTATCAGTCAGACGACATAGACATACTCCCCCTCATCATCAAGAATGAAGTTGTTGTCTGAATCCACACATTTAACGAGGGAGAAACTCTTAATATAGGTAGTTAGTTTATCGTAAGCAAGCTTATCCTGGACATCTAACTCCTCGGGCTTTACCAAATAATATCAGGCTTCTACTCGAAATGCTTCCAATGCCACTCGAGGGGAAATTTTGCATTTAGCTTCGTTACCTCTCAACTATCATCAACTGAATGATCATACAGATGGCCCACAACCGCTTCGAAAATAGGCTTCACAACATACAACCTATCCTTGAAATGCCTGACAAATTCCAAGTATGGTCGAAACAGCTTTCTGAACTGCTTGAACGATAACCACACATGTCGACCCTCGATCACCTACAGCTGGAGGTGGAAGATTCTGAGGAACAAACGACCAAGTAGCGCCAATCTTAAGGTATTGACAAACAATCTCAGATGTCCGCACGAACGCAAGCGCATTCGGGTGGAGATGAAAAGGCACAAGGTCTAACCATTTGAAAACCACCACCTTGAAATCTGTAAAAGGCAGTCGCATCCTCGCTTCTTTAAAGGTGAACTCATACATGGGGAAGCACTTTCTCGAGAAAGTTGAGTAGATCCTCTTGTGCTTGTTCGAAATGAGAAGCAACCAGGAAGGGGACATCGTCTTTCCTCTCCTCAACAACGTTGAATGCGTCATAAGGATCATGAATGAACTAAGACATCATATTCATGGGTTCAAGCGCAACCCAATCTAGGGAGTTCCATGTGCACATATATTTCCTAGCCAGTAGACTCAGACAAAACAACTTCAACTGGTTGAACCATCTTACTTAAAAAAATAGGAGGAAATAGTGAATTTGACATCATCAAATCCACCATTCCACCACAGGTCAAATGAAAAAGGTGAGGAGCTCTCTGAGGATAGGTCCTCGACTCAAGCCCTTAATGCTACACGGGGGGAATGACTCCCCTTGACTAAGCAAAATCACAAATGTTCTCCTCAACCTGGAGACTTGCTAAGATATGTTTAAATCACAAGGAATCGCCGACATGGACTCGTATGAAGCTCTTCTAAGATTCATGGATCTCCATCTAAAATTCACGAATCTTCATACAACATTCACAAAGTTCATCTGAAGTTCATGGACCCTCACCCAAAATCCATGAATCTTCATATGAAATTCATGAACTTTATTAAAAAAATCCATACATCTTCATACAAAGTTCATAAATTTCCCCAGAAAATTCATTCGTTCATCTAAAGTCCTATAGAAAATTAACTATTCAAATGAAATCACTTAAAGAAAGATAAACACCAAATAAATTTACAATGGTGGCGGCAACAGTAGAGTAGCTTGCAAACGAAGGAGGAGCAAGAGGGCAACGTGAAAATAGTTAAATGGATTTCTTCAACTCCTTTAATAACTAGTCCCCACTATACAGCAGAGCAGGTAAAGTGCGTGTAAAAAATCATCATTCCTTAAACCCCTAGGCTTCCCCAAGCAATGATAGCACCATCATTCCTTAAACCCCTAGGCTTCCCCAAGCAATGATAGCACTCCAAATAGGCACCAAGTGTGGCACACTAAGTAAAACACCGTTTCAGCTTCAAAAAATCCCACGCCTAAAATCAAACACTAACACCAATTTTTGTTTTCATAGTCAAACAAGTGCCCAACATCATGACAATACTTTTTTCTACAGGCACCACGAGGAGACAAGATTGAGGAAGAACTCTCCAATTTCCCCACAAATGCAAATTCCCAAACGAGCATCTACATCAATTCAAACACCTAATGAATCAACCGAGGAAAGTCCTTTAAGATAAATCATCCACACTTCAAGAATACAAAATGTGAACAACAACGAAAACTTCAACACAGAGAAGACATAACATATAAGAACGAAGATATAGAAGAGCATGAGTTTAGAGAGCATTAGAGTGAAACGAGTTTTGTGATTTACAAATTCAACTATCTATATTAAGTTAAACACTAGATGCATATTTAACTAAAGAAAAGAACTAGAGAATGGTTGTTTGTTAAAAAATTTGAACGTAATGAAGGAAGATTTAGAATGTAACGGTGGCAAATTTTTAATGGTTTGCTTTGATTTTTGAACTTAAATAGTTTTTGTTTGATTTAAATTATCGAATTAATTAATTTTTTTCTATTTGGCATAAACATATTTCCCTTGATAGCCTTGAATATCACCATATTTCCCTTGGGAACATACTATTTTAATGTCAACAAAGGATTCAATTGTATCTACCATATTCCCCCTTAAGGAATGCAGTTGCCAATATATTTGTCATGGCATCAGCTAATATAATTTTTGACAGATGAAATAACTACAGAGTGGATCTTTTCTTCAATTATTACAACTTTTCTCTATTTTAAATTAATTACTCAACGAGGGTTCGAAAATGTAGCAAAAAGGTTGAAAACAGAGAGCGGTGTAGCCAAATTGTTTAGGGGGATTTAATCAAGTAGAAAATGACATAAAGTTGATAATGCCTCTTTCATTGGTTAATTTATACACTGAATATCCAACGAATTTCAAATACCTAAAGAAGTTCGTTCACAAAAATAAAGTTGTCCTTTCGGAGGTTGTTTATCAAACTTCCAACATTTTAGCAAAAACTTAAAACCTGAATTGAATACAAAGGGATTTAAACAATAAATATTACAACAAAAAGGGGAGACAGCCTACATTGAAAAACATAAATGAATGTTACCCAGGAAAATAAAAGCTTAAGAAACAAATATAACTTTCACAAGTGAAAAACAAATATGTGGCATAGTTACTAGTAAACACCTTGATGTAAAATAGAATTAAAGGCATTTATCAGCGAAACTTCCAACAATTAGTTTTGGCCTCCCATGAATCAGTTTAAGAACTTGAAAACAATTTCAATCTTATCTGGGATTATGAAGGCCAGCAGCTAAATAAATTAAAAGTAATCCAATTAAAATAACATGTGCGTCATCAGTAAGGATAACTCATCTCATCCACAACTTTTGTTGTGTAGGAAGGTGTCCTAAGATTTATTCCAAACTCATCACATGATGCAATAATTTAATACTAATAGATTCATAAAGCAAATAGATCAGAGATGTAGATTCAGAAACATAAAAATATATTTAGCATCACAAAACTCAGATCAAGTGTTGGATTATATAGTTATCTTCATCATTATCTACAATCTACGATAGTTAACAAAATTAAAAATTATCAATCAACGTAAAAATTTAGTTCCCCGACGTCCAATTACCGCATCAGAATTGCAGTAGTGGATAGCGAGGGGAACACAACTATAGGCTTCAATTACATATTGCAAACACAATTAACAAAGTGCAAGCATTAATAAAATTGAGATCTGAAGCCACAAATTTCAACAAATTTAAAACTAAAAAATTAGAACAAAATCATGAAAGAGAAAATTGGGAGAAGAAGCAGTTAACTCAGCCCCTTAGATGTTAAATAAATCTGCGATCATTCCCGCAAATCATTACAGGTCTGTTAAGAACTCATCACTGTTAAAACCACTCATTCTCCGGATCCAAAAAACAACAAAAATCAGAGATCTAATTTACGATTGAAAATTTAGTTGTTTTCGCATTCTCCCAGAACCAAGAGAACGATTGTGGAAGTGAAATAGAAAAAACAACACATATAGCTATTGCTTCAAGGGAACGAGTCTAAAAGGAACGGAAATCATCCCAACGACCAGATAGTGAAGCCTATTTCAATAGCAAGTTCAAAAACACGCTAACAAATTAACAAATCGAGGAGAGAGTGAAGAGTTTTAAAGAAAGAAAATAGAAAAACCTAAATTGAGAAAAAGAGGGTGAGAGGAACGGCGCATGAAGTAAATGGGCAGTTTGGTTGCTTATATAACGAAAATATAAGTGATCCGACGGTCAGCTTGCATGCTGAATAGGGAATACTCGTCGGACTAATAAAAGGTCCCGATTAAATCAAATTGTCAATTTATTTTAAACAATCTGGGCTTTCTTTTTGCACCTCTAATTTTGCTACTACAGTGTTATATATATATAATATATATTTTAAATATCAACAAAAATAATTCGAATACAATCCTGTGAATTTTTTTTTTTTTTACTTTTACATGTGAATGGTATCAAAATCTCATAATAAATAAATAAACAAACAATAATACATTTATACTAAACTAGTTGATAACCCGTGTTGTCGCACGGGGCCGGTCGAGAATTCATAAAACGTGGAATTAATGTTGTCATGTAACAGTAAATTCGTTTTTATGTAATTCAATAAAAGTTCATCTAATTCGGCCAAATTTAGTGTATCAAACTTATTTGACAACATTAAAAAATGTAAACTGAAATCATGATTGTGTAACAAAATAAGAAACTGTGATGACTCTTCAAAATAAGAAACTATCACGAGTCTTCAGATACAACGCAACCAGCTTGGAAACGATGTTTTCAACTTTTTGACCTGCACAATAAATTATGCAAAAATTAGACAGCATTTACGGAAACAATTTATATTAAAGAAAATATTTGTTATTATGTACTTACTGATCAACAAAGAGATTGGAAAACTTCTTTGTATACAACATTTGTAGTGATAGATGTTGATACATTCATACTATCATGTATTAAGATCTTTAGACCACTTTTGCTTGTAACTCTTGAAATGGCTACATACAACTGGCGATGACTGAATACAGGAGTAGGCAAATACAATCCAACTGTATCAAGTGATTGGCCTTGAGACTTATTAATTGTCATTGCGTACGACACAATAATTGGGAACTGTCTCCTAATCAACTTAAATGGCCACGGTGACTCGGAAGGTGACATAGACATTCGAGGGATGTAAAAGATGTTACCAACATTCTTACCAGACATGATATTTGCCTCAATAACGTGATTTGCCAACCTTGTAACAATTAGTCTAGTTCCGTTACACAAACCATCGTTTTGGTCCAAATTCCTCATAAGCATTATTGGTGTACCAACCTTTAATCTGAGTTTGTGATTTGGGACACCTGAAGTCCTAAGCTTGCTAAGAAATTCTGGAGTAAGACATTCATAGGCTTCGGTGTAACTTGAATCAGTTTTATCAATCGAATCAAAACTCAAATACTTTTTGTCCTCACCTAAGAAATGGGAAAACGCGAATCAATCCATAATGTTTTTTCAAGAATAATTTAATAACGAAACATCTACACGAAAATAAACATCAAAAGAAAAAATAGTTTACCAGGTATCATGTCTAACACGTAATGATTAATTTTATCAACAACTTCAATGGTTGAAGCAAGTATTGCTTTTCCTTGTAGAAATTCTACATTTTGAAAGTCGCCAAGCAAATTTGGGTATGTGTTTTCAACTATAGCTCTTATTGGATCCTCAAAATTGGAAATTAACAAATCCGGAGGAATTTCTATATCAGTTAATCCATTGTTAGGTTCACATATTTTACCGTCGCCAACATTTAATATCCATTTAGAGAATTCTGCAAGTTCATCAGAAGTTGTACCGTCCCTCCCATTCTTTAGTCTCATGTTTTTGGTTAGTGTTAAGACTTGGCAATAGTCCCACACATAAGAAGAACAAATGGAAGCATGAACAATATCAGAACGGCCTGCTCTTGGAACAACTGGAAGTATCTGTCGAAAATCTCCTCCAAATATAACTACCTTGCCACCAAAAATTGTATTTGCAAAACCCTTATCGCTCATGACATCCTTAAGGGTCTTATCCAAGGCCTCAAAACAATTCTTATGAGCCATGGGTGCTTCGTCCCATATTATGACATCAGTAGCTTCGAATAACTGTGAATGCTCAGAGTCTTTGTCAACATTGCAAGTAGAGTTGTCAAGCGTTGGAATGGGAATTTTGAACTTCGAATGGGTTGTTCTACCATCTGGCAATAATAAGGAAGCTATGCCACTTGAAGCAACAGCCAGAACAATTTTTTTATCTGAACGAAGTGCACTTGATAATGTCCTCCACATAAACGTTTTACCGGTTCCGCCGTATCCATGTAAAAAAAACACCCCTCCGTTTTGTTTCTTGACGGCGTCCATTATGGTTTCAAAGACTGCATGTTGCTCATCTTGACGTTTAAATGAAAAGAATCAATACAACAGTAGTTTAATGAAAACATCGATGATTTGAATAATGAGGAAATACCTGTTAGAGATGTAAATAGATTCTGGAAGTTTTGTCGCTCTAAATCAACATCGTAATCACGTTCATCAAAAATCAGTCTATTGCCGACATGTCGCGTTATATACAAATCTGGAAACGGCATATCTTTGAATTCACGCAAGCTTCTTCTATTTGATTGCATCATATTCTCAATCTCAATTAATGTGAGGTTTGTCAGTTCTGCAGTTGACAATTGCATGTCTTCCAACACAAATACAAACCAAAATAAAATATAACTATTATGTACAATAGAAATCACAGTGTTGATGAAGATAGACATGCAAAAGGATCGTTAACCTTAAAATGGCAGTATCATGGAAAAGTTCAGTATAATGCAAGAGCATCAGACATTCGGGTTCATTAAAAATGTTATGTTTTTGATCAGTAGCTGTGACAAAAGGTGGTTGAAGGTAAAAGATAAATCACAGAATTATTCTGTTCTGTGTTGGTGGTGAGTAATATCAGATTGCATTAGATATTTTTATTACTGATGAAATAGCAGCATTGAAAGGACTTGCTTACTGGAACTTATGATTATTTGAAATGGCAGCATTGAAAGGTGTTGTTTAATGGAAATGATGTGAAGCATTATGGCATAAGAACAGGAAAGTCTGTGTATGGG